AGCCCGGAGGACGCAGTGGGCAAGAGAGGAGGAGTTAGCATAGCGATAGGTTAGAGGCAGCCATAGCTGCCATAGCTGTAGTTAGTAGTGAGTGTGTGTGTGTGCTCGAGTGTTAGAGTGATGCGTGTGGGATATCCAGGGTGATCCCGTGTATGTGAACAGTGAGATGCTTGGGCGCTGAGGTCGCCATAGCCAATTGGGAGTGAAATATCTCTGAGTTTGAGTGGGCGCATGTCGCCAGTATGCTGCGTTACTGTTTACATGTGTGAAAAGTGTGTTTGAAAACGAGTCTGATTGCACTCCCTACATGCATGCACACTCACTACTATTACTCAAGGATCTACTCTGGATACACCCACTGCTATGCCTACTAATTACTACTAGCTAACGCTAACACTTCGCACTGGTGCAGCTATAGCTGCCTTCTCCCTGCCAGCGCTAACTCTTCCTCTCTCTCAGCGCAGCACTCTGGCTCAGCGCTCTGCCCCTCACAATAATGCACAAGTGCACCAGCGCTTCCACACTTCCATGCGAATGAGCAATCTGCCCGAATGAGTGGCTGGCCAGTCCTTATATTGCCTTCGATCTTCATTTTGGCTGTCCCAGCTTCTGCTGCAAATGGTTCACCTCGGCCTGGTACCGCATGCCCACGGCCTATCTGCTTCTGAATGTCAGGGCCTGGTACTTTCCCGAATTTCCAATGATGTGCTGCTGTCTGGGCCTGAGAGTCACGACTTTTCACTTGTGTACGTGACTTTTGACTGTGGACTGTGACTCCTGCCTCTGGGACACGACTCTTGCCTGGGAAAGTGTCATTTGCCTGTGGAATGTGATTTGTTAATATGACTCTTTAATTTGAGACGTGACTTTCATCCATGGGATGTGACTGTTCATTGGGTGCCTGTTGGATTTGGCCTCTAAGAGTCTAAGGTACCCGACTGTGACTCTTCTGAAACTGACCGAAATTGGCCTTTCTTGGCCCAGGCCTCTGACCCTGAAACTCGAATTTGGAGTCTGAATCGTGGAAGGCCTTTCACCTATAAGATCACAGGCTCTTTTTTTTTTTTTTTTTTTTTTTTTTTTTCCCTCCAAAAACAAACCGCCCCTTCTATTCTGGGGGGCATCAGTCCGGTTGCTTCTCACCGGCAAGCACGAAAACCAATGTACAATTGATTAGAAGTGAAGAGAGGAGAGCCTTACCCTTGCGGCCCTAGACGCCTATCAAGGGGGGAACTGCTACGACCAAAGCCCACTTCCCATACCATAGCCTCCCCAGGGGCGCCCCCGTTGGTCGGGAAGCTTCCAAGAAGCACCCAGAACGCACTGTACAAGATCACAGGCTTTTTATGGCCTTTTTTTTTTTTTTTTGTACTTCGAATTGTGGACACCACTTAGGGAGGTGATATGAGCAGCCTCCCTAAGTGGTTCTGCGGTTGAAGGCTCCATCTATTGGTGAGGAGCAGCACCTGCTGGCAGCCGGGTCCAGCTTTATGTCCTTTCTACTTCACTACCCCCTTAAATTATAAAGTGGGTCTTACGTAATGGCGTCGTGCAAGGCTGGCGCGGAACACCACAGAAGCAGCCTGACTGGGCGGGAAACACCACAGGGAAAAGCATCGGCTCCACTGGCGGCTCACCAGTCTTGGACATAGCCCAAGCTGTCTTTGGGACGCCCCACCGTTTTCACCCTCCCCAGCAACCTCAAAACAACTTTTGGCATACAGTTTCATGCCTGACAACATTTTGGGCTTGGGCTGCACGCAGCGGCCCAGAAACATTTTGGGGCACAACACGGTTTTGTGCGGCCCAAGGGCTGTGCTGTGCCTCATGGTGTGGCAAAACATGGTTCAACGGAAGGAAGGCGGGGGGGG